CGATCCGTCAAATGTATAAGTTCGGTGTGAACCGCAAATGATTTCTATTCTGTCACGGCTTTTATCCTGCGTTTCCGGTATATTACACGATTCGCTACTGTTTTGAACAAGTAACCAGTTTTAAAATAATAAACATTACTGGTGATTCACCAAAGTGTAGAAAAAATTAATCCTCTCCTCGTGCACTGAAGTCATTATAATAGAATGGATTTATTCCAAATTCAAATGTTAAAATGCGTGGATTTAAGTCTTGGGGAAATAGATGATTCTAACAAGGATATCAGGCTCATCACACCTTTGTTCCTGGTTATATACATTTCTTGGTATTTCGTTAATTCTTACAAAATACCAATATGGCATCAGATCGTATCGTGTTAGTCATAACAGGTTTTCGGGTCTGGTTGATTTAATTTGGGTTAAATTTGATTAATTGTGATTAAATTCTGATTAATTCGTATAAATGTCTAGTGCATGACACATACGCCAACAAATTTGGTACTTACTTATATGTTACAAAATTACGTACATAATTCATGGACGTTTCGTTTGGGAAGAACGCAGCGTATTGCAAACTAAAATGTGGCAACAGCGCCTGGGTGATGGTGTTTACTTACCTGATGGTGTCGATGACTCATCCCCATTTTTCATTGGTCACTGTTGTCAGTCGCCTGTCACTCCGGCTCAGCTATCCGCATATAGAGACACTTGGCTGGCGTGACGCCAATGAAAGGTCGGATTTGCCGTCGCCTTTCTTCCTTTTGTTCTTGGGTTGTTACGGGCTGTTAACTAGAAGGGTTATAAAGTTGTGCAAGCAAGCCACCACAAGGTCACCAAATTATTATCATTTAAATACGGCAAATGTAGCAAAAGCACTCGAAGGATTTATGGCATTGGCGAAAATAGTGAAACTTTGCCCAAGCGTGGTGTCTTGAGTAGACACTAGCCATAATTAATGTTTCAATTACCGTTTTATAAAGACAGGCCCTAAATGCAATTATAGTAACTTCTTTCCTGCGTGTGCCTCTGCTAGCCAAAAGCTAAGACAAACGCGCGACCTCATGCAGAGAGTCGTCACTGTCAGTCAAAAACTGAAAAACACGTCAAGATGAATAACTTATGGGTGACTTTGTTGTTATAAGATACAAATTTTAAGTGATCATAAAGTGAGTCGCTGTGGGGTTATGCAGCGCGCCCGATAAGAAAGCACTAGATGGGAATGACTGACAATGTCGGCGCCAAGAAATTGAGTCTCCAAAACGGAAATCGGAGAGAAGTTATACTCCCTAATATTTATCTTGGAGTGTCCCCACACCTAGGTCTCGATGTTAGCGCATGTATGACTCACACATCCGAGGTATAAATACACACGCGCAAACACCACACACGACACAACGACACCAACGTGGTTGACCTCGTAAGTAACCGCTTGTGCTCACGTCCTTTCCGATCTTTTTCTTCATCGCGGGTATCAGGGAAGCGTAATCGGGCTATGGTTAATTCCGTGGCCCCGGTGTGGTTCAAGACCACATTTAAGGGCCCACAACACCATTTCAAGGTCACTACTCTGTTATGGTAAACCTAAGCACGAAGTACTCAAGGAAGAAACGACGGGCGCTCTGCCGTTTATTGTGTTATTAAGAGATCATCCGTGCAGAACGAAAAGGAATCTGCTGCAATAGGAACGCTTGGCATTCGATCTCTGAACACCCATCGCCGCGTGAAATCAATATAATCGATTGAATTCGCCCTCATTCATCCTCGGAAGGAATGTTTGCATGTTGACCCGATGAAATGAGCGGGATTCAGTCAGGAGCCACCAATGGGGTGCCCTTAGAGATGGAGTAGCATGATTAGGAGAGTTGTGTAAATGCTGAAGAAACCCTAAGTGGTAGTGAGCAGTCTTGCCAACAATTAACCAACACTAGAAGAATACTACAAACGTATCCACCACTGTTATCAGCTGGATAGATGCACAAAAGCTACTTTTTCGTTGTGACTCTACTCTTTACTTCTGATTTTTACCCCATGGAAAAAGCATGGACCTTGTTCTGTCCAGTTACAGCAACTTCGTAACTCATTTGTTGTACCTTGCAAGTCCACTGACAAAAACAAGCGGTTTCTCTGTATGGTTACCTTGTTGTGCCCACTGGAAAATCTTTACCCAGGCATTAATACACTTAACCTGAACTGGAACGAACACAAGACCTCATCCATTAGACCAGGGCTTTAAATCATTTCAGAAAACAATTGCCATTAGAGCCATGATTTATTCTTCTTTAAATAACTGCTGGTGAGTGAAGGGGCTGTAATATATTCGGATTCAGTGAACTGGTTTTTTTATTTATCTAACTCATACTAATTCCACTAATCACTCGAATCCCCTTCAAATCCGTTCCTTTTCTCGCACACATTTGACTTCACCCTCTAGATACGGAGGTGATGCAAAAATATAACTGATATCCTGATCCTGGTGCTCACGAAATGAGACTGGTGATACATTAGTGTGCCAGTATGGGTTCTTAACATAAATTGGCCGCATGCAGCCACACAATGTTTCATCGCATCTAGACCCCGTGGCGTGAGAGAGGCCAAGGGTAGACTAAGCTGTACTCATCTCCTTAAACGGCTTTTTTTAAGAGTGAGCTAGTCAAACTCGTAAAGTCACTTGCAGATTACCTTGTAGTGGCTAGAGACTTAGCACTACCTTCCAACCCTCTAGTTAACAGACCATAACTACCGGAGGAAAGAGGGAAAAGTGGCAACAGAGAACACGACCGTCTATTAGCGTTACACCAGCCAAGTGGCTTCGTTGGCGTATGAGTACGTGTGCTGACGGAGGCCCATAACAAAAGGGGTGAGTCATTGGTCCACTTCGGGGGCCCTCATGCACGCATCACCCACGTGAGGTGGCTGTCAGTCCACTGCAACCTCACTATTCCGTCCAGTGAGGAACAGACAAATACTTAATACCAAGATGCTTTGTAGGGTTAGAGGATATATAACAAGCCAGCAGCGGAATATAACGCATGTTGCTGAGTCTGATTTCGTTTGTGGCCACCGCTTTTTAGAAAAGTACACAAACCGAACAGGCGCCAAGGGACCTACGTTGACACGGCCTGATCTGGAAGGAAGAAAACCGTTGATAATGCGAAGCTCAAGGCGTGGTAGTTAAGTGTGTTGATAGCGTGGTAAGGCGTCAGTTCCTAATAAGGACGCCTGAACGAGCATTGCATCGACTGTCTACTGTCGTATTCACTGATTCTTTTTATTTCATCGCTTCCAAAATGTTTCCTGTTAACCAACTACACACAAACGTGCTTTAGGTGCCAAACATGATGCAAGTTTTAGTTTCCTGTTGTCTTCCAATATTTTGGTTATACTGGAGGCCTCGTTGAACTAAAAATTATACCATTAACGGCAGCGCCTTGCTGGAATAATTATTTTGTTAATAAAATTTCATGTGACCTCTCAATCGATAATTGTGATCTAAGTTACCGAGTTGTATTTTTGAGAAAGATGAGATCTCGGCTTGTAAACGATCAATTGCAAGACAGGTGACATTGGTTAGGTGATACAGTTACCGGGAGTGTGTCTTACAGATTTAAGTTTGATACTTGCTCCTTGCGTCTTTACAGTTATATTTGCTTCATTTGACAAGAAAACGCACCTTGGGAACGCTAGGGACGATGATTCAACGCATGAAAATGAAAAACGTGTATTGTTCGAAGTGCTAAAGCTGCTTTTGTTCCTTGTTCGTATGAGTGCGCAAGACCATAACTTGGCATCTCCCAAAGATACACCCCAAGATGTTACAGTACGAAGTGCCCAAGTGCGTAATGATGCAGAAGGAGAGAGACGCAACCAATTTTCGTTGTCGTGTGCATGTATTTAAAGTCATGCATCATTTATGAGGTTAGTTTGAGTGAACTAGTAGTAGTAGAAACAACTGAATCGGCAGCTTGGTGAGACGGAAAGCGAGAGGAGCGAGGGGTGTGAGCAGACGGTCCCACATGACTGATGTGGACGCTGCAAGAGGGCGGTAGCGTGGCGGGGAAGGCAACGACCGGGTTAATGGACGTCAATTAACACCATTCATCGCAATATTTAATTGAGACCATTAAATCCACATTTGCTCAACTTTTGGAATGTGGATTACTGTGATCTTAAATCCCACCAAAACGTAGCGACTATTGTGCTAGTTTCTACCAAGTTAGTTGGTTCCTGTATGGTTACAAACAAAGACCTTAACTATTTAGTGTTCCATTCTCTTCTCTACACAACGTTTCCACACAGTTAAAAAACGCGGCCGTCGTCTACAGAACTTGTTCTGAATATGCTCCATTTGACTTTCGTTGCTTTGTTTTGTAAAGGTAGGACTTGGATATCAGTAAAGTTAATCATTCTTACATTGTAATTAAACATCAAGTACTTTCACTTTTTGTCTGGCTTGTAATACGAATTTAAAAATCCGGTTCAAAAGAAATTAAATGTGTGCAAAAGAAACCGATGTCGCAAATAAAAGGCAACTTTTGAATTGAATCCAGAAAAGATTTTTTGTGGACTTAAAATTGAAGTGCACAGACATGTTATGAACACCAAAACTAAATACACGGGAGAAATGTGCGACCGAATCCTTAATGTTTTCGGGCCTAACTAGCAATGTTGAATTGAGCCATGCCTATAAGAACGGGAAGTCCTCTTGTACAAATGTCTACTTTTTGAAGCGGTTAACAGATGTTTAACAGGCACTTTATTTGAAGGCTCACGAAATGAAACCAATCCGCTTAGACAAAGGCTTTGAAACGTGTGTCGACGCAGGCTCTTGCACTCAACGGGATCTCAGCTCAATGGCACACACAATGTCACGCCGCAGCCAAAACGATTTAACGAAGCAACCAATCACACAACAAGTCTCAAGGCAATGCTAACACACCTATATTCTATAGGCAGCCGGTCTTGACTGAGAGTGTGTTTTCATCTTCGTTGGTACTTGAGCAGCAATGCAAGGATTATTAACCCCGGATTCACCAGTTGTTATCGATCCTGGAACATACCGATGGCGAGTTGGATTGGCCAACTCAGCAAAACCAAAGTCATCCTTTATGACGGAAATTTCTATGCTAGATGGTGTAAGTTTTCACGCAATTGACATGTCCTAATGAAAAGTGATTTATGACATGTTGGTTCTGTTGTGGGCCCCAGCATGTGGTCTTGAACCACGCCGGGGCCACGGAATTAACCTAGGCCCGATTACGGTCCCCTGACACCCGCGATGAAGGAAAAGGCCGGAGTGGACGAACACAAGCGTTTACTTCCGAGGTCAACCACGTTGGTGTCGTTGTGTCGTATGTGGGGTTTGCGCGTGTGTATTTATACCTCGGATGTGTGAGTCATACATGCGCTAACATCGAGACCTAGTCGTGAGGATAATCCAAGATAGATATTCGTGCGAATGAAGGGGGAGTTGAGGAATCGAGCGGCTGGCGACATGTTGCGACAAGAGGAACCCTGTGTAGGAGGTGGAGCGACCGGATAAAGGGGATTGAATAAACAGGATTCACGATAGTTCTTTTTGGCTTGCAAATTGTGAGTACGTACCTAATTGATACACTGTTGTCCAAATAGTCAGATTGCTTAAAGTATGCCTGAAAAACGTGGCCTGATGCTCACTGAGAGGTTCTGTGTTCTTTACTTTATTATGCCATGTAATGCTTTGTAGACTGCCGTGGAAGACAATGGAAAAGTCAAGTGCTTCGAGAGCACCGAAATCTCACTGGCGTATTTTGAGCGCTACATTCACCATGGACTCAGGATGCTGAACTGCGATCCACACGGCGTAAGTCTGTGCGTCGCAGTTCCCCTCGCCTTTAGTCTAGCCTACAGGAGGCAGGTTGTTGAGGTCATTCTTGAAAGCGTCGGAGCCAAATCCGTCTTCCTGGCCTCTCAACCCCTCCTTTCTGGATTCTCATCTGGACATCCAACAGGTTTGATTATCGATTCTGGTTACACATATACAAGTATCTACGGTATGTACAACCTGTACCCTGAACGAACCACTGAACTGATCTATTCGGTTGGTGGGCGCGACATTGACGAATACCTCAAACAATCCGGTGGAAGCAACCTCGCTGACTGCTCTGCATCTGACATCAACTACATAAAATCGCATTTCTGCACCGTTTCTCCGAAGCCTCAGCAAGAGCAAACCAAGACGCAGCCACACCAGATGCCTGATGGAAGGAGTTTGAACCTTGGCAATGAAGTATTACTGGCTCCTGAGTTGCTTTTCAACCCTGGTTTGAACGGTAGCAGTAAATCGCCATCGATAAACGAAGCGATTCTCCAGGCGGTCAGTGGTTTGCCCCAAGAAAAAGTAACCACGCTTCTCAAAACGGTGATCTACTCCGGAGGCAATCTAAAGTTCAATGGTTTAGGTAAACGGTTACAGGACACGCTATCTGAGAAACTTGGGTCAATCGACATCGGTGTAGAGGGCCATTGTGCAGCCGAACTTGGGGTTTGGAGAGGAGGGGCCATTTTTGCTTCTATGCCAACCTATCCGTCAATGGCCATCTCAAAGGAACGATGGAAGGAGCATGGCGAACTTATTGTGCGAAGAAAGTGGTTGTGAATAAATAATATCAACGGAAAACCTAAAATCACTTACCCAAGGTCATTTATATCTTGCTAGTCGTCGTGTTGAGCAAGCGACCAATATGACTGTGAGTCCGACTATTTAGTCAGAATAAAGTAAAATAACCGTCAGAAGTTTACCTTGAAATAGGCTCATTAAAGTGGTTTTTCTTACGTGAGTAAGAGTAGCGATAAAAGCTGTCTTATAAAAAAGGAAATGCTTAGATTTTACGTGTTTCTAGAAATACCTGCAATGACAAAGAAACAAGTACAGTTTGTCAAAAAAACTGATATAATTTGCTTAACTTTTATAAGCAAGATGTAACGTACCTACCATCAGGGTTGTGCTAGGTATTATAATTTTCACATCCTACTCGCTGTCTACTTAATATTCTCCTCGCGGTAGATGATTGGAACCATGGCTCTACTCTTATCACAAAGTGTTCCTGTAATACTGACAAGACAACCAATTCAGATTATGGTGCTTCGACAGTAAATGTCCTCAGTGATCTTTTTTGGCTATGCATTACTGTTTACCAACCACCTAAATAGTTTCAACTAAGCACAACTCCCCATGGGAATCTAGTGAGTAAATGTTTTGAGTCCCGCTTAGACCCAGCCAATTTTGGTACCGTGTCCATTTTGCTTAGCTGTGATAGGCACAGAGCCTTTAAATCTAATTTCATTGGATTTCGACTTCAATTTACTCATCCTGAACAACCACCGACTTAAAATCAGCTCAAGGAAAATGCACCAGATTAATTGCTCTTATTTTTGCCATTGGCGAACCTTTGCTCTGCTACAATTTTTAAAAAAAAGCAGATCGCATGTGCAAGATGTAGCAAAACAAGCTAATAATTGCCATCCGATCGTATTGTAACAAGATTTTAAGCTGAGAAGCACATGTAGTCATATCCCTACAAGTCATGACTCTAATTAGAATTTTCTTTCCACACAAATTTTGTTTACGCTTCTACCTAGCGTCACGACTTACAAGAAACGCCCTGGAAACCATTCGTCTCCCAAATTTACGGTTAACAAACTTCGATGTTTCACTTCACAGTGTTAGTCTATTGGTTAACCATTATGACTAATGTTCCTCCTCAAATCAGTAATTCAAGCGTTCATCAAGCCTTGACGGATGCAAAAGTAGGCAAAAAATGTGAGTAAATAGGGACCAGATTTAATGAGGCATGACTGTGCTCTGTAGCGTTACTGCAGTGTAAATAATATTGCATTCAAAGGCATTTAAGCATTCATTGAAACCACTCTTGTTTTTTAAGCCCCACACCAGCAGCTGTTTTCAAGGTGCCTGTTCTCAGTGCAAGTTGTGCGTCATAATTTCATTTACAGGGGATCGTGACGCCAGAATTGCGTCACCTATTGGTGGAAAGAGCGGTTGAAATGTTTGACAAACACAACCTAACCGCTGCCATTCCTTGCTCCCAAAATTCGATTTCATATTCCCCTGCCTCGACGAAATATTCACGAACTTTACTTGTCATTTCTGCAAGCTACTCGAGTCGTGTAATTAGTTGAGGGAATACAAGATTTTAGTCAAGTGGGCTGACAGATACGTAGTCCAAAATTAGTCTAGATTGCAGTCGTCATTCTTGTTGGTGCCAAGAAACCAATGCTTGTGCATGGATTGAACTTTCGCTTAGTTTATTAACGAATTGAAGGTATTGTAAACGGAGCTCGCCTGCGTTGATATTTAATGTTGGAAGGGGTATTTCCTTGTTTCGATCATCCTAAAAATGCGCGATGGCTGGAGCTGTACGTGAGCAATGTAGTTGAAATTTTGGCCGTTAGGTTCTACCGTCTTTAGCTTTTCGCATCCACCTATAAGTCATTGGTTACAATAACAAGGTTTCTTAATTAGACGAACCTACAAAAAACAGTACATTTTCAAGATGCACGCAAACATGTCTATGAACTTCTAGATGCCAGAAGTGTGAAGAATAAAGATTTAAGATACCTTAATCTGATGTGTCTTCTGTAGAACTCAGACATGACAACACGGTCCGTAAAACGTTTTGGTCTGGTCAATTAATCGCCACACTCTTTAGGTTAATGTGGGTCTTTAGACGGTGACAAGATGGCAACTATTCTGGGTTTAACCTATTTTTATGCAATTATGCATCAATTATTATCTTAAGGATATTTTCGCATAATCTGCTGAGACATCGTCTATGATAGTGAATTTTCTGCAGCGCTTAGATTTGAAATAATAATTTCGGCCTGATTGATGACCCAAATACAAAGTAATCAGCTTGTTCACCCTTGTTACAGTTATGTGAATACCTATGCATGACACTCCAAAGACCATCTCAAACCGCACCGGACACAACTAGACCAGAATATAAGAGGAAGATCGTAGATGATGCGGGATTTAACAGATTTACTGCCACAGTAAGGGCGTGGTTGTTAGGATTGTCAACAGCGTGGGAAGCCGTCAGTTCGTGTAGGAAAGCTTGACGTCGGCCTCTGAGCGAACATCGCAGCGTGAAGTGCACGTGAGATTATCGATTGAAATCTGCTTCGCAAGTGGATCGCCATCGATCCGTGACGTGCACATTTAGGATTATCGATTGAATCCGTGCTGGCTAATATGTTCGCCAGCTGATCGCCACACAATCGTGGTTTCCTACTTTTTAAAGTTTATTTGTTAGTGACCACGTTATTTCATAAATGCTAAGTCAATTGTTAGAAAATCTGGTATTGACATCGCAAAATTAATATTTTTGACCTTAAGTATTTTTACGATTGCAGCGTTTTTCGTGGACCAGCATCGCTGCAGCTAACCAGTTTAACTTAGTCTCACAACTTTGTAACCTCAGCAGTCTAGTTCGTCTAGGATGGATGACTGTAAACACCACACACGTTCACACAACATAGACATTTCTCGGAAATTCGACAAAGATAGCCTTGCCAAGAAAACAGAAGCGGAGAATGTTACAAACACAATGGATCCAGAAATATTATTTTCAAACATTTAAAGACATTTCAGAAAGAAAACTAGTGACCACACAATTTAAAATACGCGTAAACCTTGAATTCGATATCCCCTGATTAATTTTAAAATGACTTCGGGAAATCCTATCTTCAGTTGTTCGACGTCATCTCTTTCCACTTGTCATTTAATAAGTCCAATCTCACTCAGACAAATTGTAAGAAACGCAGAGGTGTCACTAAGTTTTCCGACGTCATCTACCTCACATTTGCATTGTACTGACTTAACATGTCGCAGCAAACAATAACCATGTACCACTGAATTGTCTAAATACATATTTTTTGTTTTATTATAACAAGTAAACCCAAGCACTTCACAACTGTCTAGTGCCTAATAAACATTTACTTATGAATGTAGACAAGTTTGACTGTTCAGTGTAATCTACACCACTAGCAGGTCGCTGTGCCATGAATAAACAAATATTTTAAAAGAGATTTTTGTGTCATCAGTTAATTTTCTGAAGCAAGGCTCATCCTGGACATAAATCTAATTGATTGCTGTTTGCGTTGAGACGTGATTCTGTGGCAGCTACAATAACTGAGAAACTGGAAGCAAGATTGTTGACAGACATTAAAAAACTCTGGCTATCATAATTCATTGGCGACTTTTTTTGGCTGACAACGATAGCAAGCTTGTTGAATTATATTCACAAGAAACAAATGCATAAAAATATACAAAATTTAATGAATATTTTAACTTAGGAAACACGTGATGGGCTCAAGACACAACTAGTAGATCCAACAAATCGATTTTTCCCATACCGACGAATCAGATTGCCGTATACATAGAGACAAACACAATTTAACTTTGTGTGGTCGACACAAATCCATATACCTGCCTGTTCTGGGCTTAGCACCGACGCCAGTTCAGTTTACCGCGCGAATCAAATTACAAAAAGGGGCAGTAGAGATGGAAGCAATTAAGTCCGCGTATGTACACGCCCCAATGCAGTCCGATGCAATCGAGTTGTCACCAATCTTGCCCGGGTTTCTCCCTCGTCCTTTCGGTTTTAGTGGCTTTGGGCGGGTCCCTTCTTAGATAACCACACACACATACACATGTCTTGAGGGTTTGTAATTATTGGTCTCATGTGAGCTGGGGAGGGGCAGTCCAATCATCGGTTCATCGCACATCCGAATGGAATTTTACATTCCCCTTGTACTTGTGAAGGTGAAAGTGGTCGCTTTGCTAAGTAAGTCGCATTTTGTCTGGCAAATACTTCGCACTTCTAACGTCACCTTCATATACTCTTTGCGCAGCTTTGTTTACAAAGAACTTGGATAAAAGTTCTTGTTCTGATTCCTTACTCGTTTCAACATTTTCGAATCCAGTAACAGGGCACGGATCCTAGAAAGGTTCTACTAGCCATCTCATCTGACTCGTTACGTTAGCAGTTAGACGCTGTATTAAAAAATTCCAGGTTTACTTAAGCCAAATAGATTGTAGGGCATCATTGAGTGGAATCAAATCACGAGGGCTCATTTATCTAACACTACAGTTTTGAGACAAAATTAGTCAACTGCTAATACGATATGGGCAAGTGAATGCTTCGTGTCTAAAGGATCTCTACACAAGTCGCTTTAAACCAAGAAACAGCCATGCAACATGCAAGTTAGCGTTTTCTCTATCAAAAATTATTCAGATTAATAGGTAAATAAGTTATGCATGAGACAGCTTAAAATAGCCAATGAGTTTCACTGGGTTAATGTTGAACATAAAGTTAAAAGTATTTGGGACAATTAATTAAGAATTAACGGTAGACTTCGAGTGATAGCTACAATTAGATATAGGATTTTGATGGTTATCAACAAATAAATCAAGAATGACTTCACTCTAAACCGAAAATCCAAGTTTACTTAACTAAGAGGAAAATGAAGTCTATTAATTAGTTTTTGTAACTTTGTATTCATTCTTTCACATTTAAAAATGGACGGCTCTTAGGTAGTTCCTTGTAAATTCTTCTGTACACACTTTTAGTAGCCACAACAATCTAATTTTGTTGAAATTGGCGTACAACTGGGGTCTCTGCTTTAATCATTAACATATCTTCAACTGACGGCTGGCTGTTGACTCACAGCCAGTCCGTGTATATTAAACGATTGTCCATTTAAGTTAGATTAATGCAAATCAAAATTGCTAGTTTACCTAGAATGTAATTCAGTCAACATTGAACTCTATTCTTCTTAAGGAAAGAATGGAAAAGATATTTGGTTCTCCCATTCATTAAAAAACTGTCCAAAATCACTTAAAGAATCGAAAACACAGTTGCATTTTTCATCCGCACAATTTCCATTAAGATTTCGCTCAATCTTAAGCAGGTTCGAAAATCAGGCTCATTTTGTTGACAGGACCTCAGGTCAAGCTTTATGAAGCCAGTTTGAAACTAGGCGCTTTCTCTTCTGGCAAGAGATTTATTGGGATCTAAATGCTTGAAATACTTTTTGTTCGTAATGTTAGAGAACCCAGAAGTATCCTAAAACAGAACTTGCATTCGTCTGAACGGTAGACAGAGACCCCGGAGTTTTTCATGGACTTCAAATATTTTGCCTCTTTAGCACAATGATAGGCTTTACCCATCTGCTATGCTTAATGGTGCTGTTCCTGTCTGAAAACACAAAGAGTGCGGATACCTTTACATGCTACCCCCTGTCTGCTAATTCGCTTTCGCACACACCGCTGCAATGTCCAGGTAAGACTCGTCCGATTACCCTTTTCCGCACCTCTCGGGGCATTTTACTGGTGTTAGTACACTTCACTTCACTATAACTACGTCTACGTCCAGTTGTATACAAAAAGTTACGTAAAGTCATTGCAATTGTGTGGTATCAATTCGCACTTAACACTGAGAAGACTCGATACTTATTGGCAGCTCTTTGAATACACGCACCATCACAATGAGAAGCAACGTGTTTTAAAGAGAATTTATGTCAAGACAAAACCTTTAGTTCATAAAAAATTAGTTTAATCTCAGATTGACTTAGAAACAACCGCTTCCTTCATGTGTCATCCAGAAAATGCTCCAATTAAATCATCAGCATTTTGTCAATTTCTTGCTCTATCAGTTAACTGCAAACGAAATGGACTTTTTTTGTAGGTCTAGATGTCCGGATAAAAGGTCCAGATCAGTCAGATTCCTATGCTGATTCGCCCATCGAAATATCCGTCTTCATAAATGCGTCCACAGAATTTTACACCTGGGCTTTTAACAATCACTACTTCCCGAGTAGCATTGTGTAAGTCTAATTCCTTCTTCTTACTCAGTCTCTCATTTGTAACGGTTGTACTAGACCGATTTGTCTCTTAATTTCGCGCCCAACACTTGTTTGCTAAATCTTTGTACAAATTCTAAAAGCACCAAAACGAGTTCTAATTTTGATTGCGTTGCCCTTTCGAGTAGAAAATAAATCAACACACCATTTTGACCCGGTTATTAAAGCTTAAAACCACAAAAAATACTGGCTTGGATTTCGGACTGCAAATAAATTTATATATGAGATTATTGGAAGATAGCATTACATAAAAAGAACTGTAAAGCAATGATTTTTAAATACAACTACATTTTGAAACAAACGGTCACGGTATGTTGATTCAAGGAATTGCGGGATATAGCAAAATCGAAGTTTTTCTACGGATAGTTAAGATCAGCACCCAAATGAGCTCTGACATTGATTGCGTTGCCCATTCAGGTAGAAAATAAATAAGCACACACCATTTTGCTCTGGTTACTAAAGCTTTAAAGCATAAAAAATACTGGCTTGGAATTCGGACTGCAAGGAAAGTTATAAACGAGATTAATGGAAGGTAACACCATAAAAAAGGATTTCAAAGCGATGATTTTTCAATAAAACTACATGTTGAACCAAATGGTCACGGTATGCTGATTCAAAGAATTGTGGGATATGATAAAATCGTATTTTTCTCCCCGCAAAATTAAGGTCGGCAGAAGCTGCTCAAACCTTCTGTAAAGATGGGCCTTGTACGCAACCCTACGAACCAGGTACTTGCTGCATTTGGCGCCTCGCATTCAACACTTGCCCTGTTTCGCCAAATTACACCAATTCCGAATTCTGTGCACCGTGGCTGCCGACGAATGGCATTATCGTCGGCTACACGCAGCCCCTCTTTGGGCTCGCCTCGCGCGCATTCTGGAACACTACAATACCAGGTTTGTTCCTCGTCTCATTTGGCACCATTGCAGTGTACTTGATTTCACTAAAGCGACTTTTTTGTCTAAAAACCCAAAAAATCAAATTAGTAGAACCACAGGCAACAAATGGATAAAAAGGTAGAGCAAAGCTCTGAGCAGTTTGTGAGCACAATGCTTCCAAACTTGGAATTTGTACATTGGTGTTTCTCAGGTCACATCAACTGGACTGCGAATTAGAGAGGCAAACACTAATATTATGCTATTAAATCTTGCCCCGTATAGTCTTAGTCAAATGTAGAAATCAATTTCTGTCTATGAGAAATTCACGTCAAGAATCTTATGGTCATTCTTAATTTAAACTTAAACTGTCAAGTCTTCAAGCAGCCGTCAACTTTGTCTTCAAGTTCTTTTTGGCAGCAATTCAATACCTAGTTTACATTTGTCTAAGCAAACGCCAATAGTTACCATTAAATTTATGTTATAGTTATTAATATCGTCTTCAGCCATGAAAAATACTCTATAGATTAGCACATAAACTGATGTTTGCCTGTTTTAGCAATGGTTTTACCGGGTAAAACTATTATCATGGCTACCTTCTTCCTTGGTCATTTGAAGATATCCACCACTACGAGCATCATCTCAGTTCTCCGGGCTGGTAAGGCGATTCCTTGCTCAAACTACGTCCAGACCATGTGCCAAGCAAATGGTTTTATGGGAATGACAGCAAATTATTTCTTCAACACCTAGTTTTGTCAGAAATGGCTAAAATTATGAGGCGATCCAACACGTCAGCTGCTTTCAGTCGAGCAGCAATATAATTTCCGGATTATACCAAAACTGTATCCACTGCGCCATTGCTTTGGAATTTTATATCAAAAAAGCTTACGAAACTGACTTTTAAACAAGTATTAGCAAACATTAAATGCATAACTATGACTAAATATGCATTGTGGTGTAAATCCGTGTGTATCAGTGAATGATATCAAAGCAACTTTCTATTTAAGTGATACAGCAACTTTCCGTTTTGCGCAACTGATGTACCTAGGTACAGTTTCTCAAAATAAAAATCCGAGCATACGCGTCAAAAAACACTCAATCACATCACCAATACGTGGTGAAAAGAGCTTCAGAGCTTTCTCCGTGCCTTTTGACTGATGCTTGCTAAAGACTCGCTCACGCCACAACCAACTCACAACCTTTGGCGTGCTTCGATCACCGGCAAGCTGTAGCCAAGGTGACAGGGTGTGCGGAGAGCTCTTGTTATATTTAGTGCGCGCACTATTGTTACTAGTTGCTTTAAACAAAAAAGACTACGTATTTTAAATAAAACGATAGAGAACCCAATGCGTAATTGCGTCGCTGATACTTGTTTGTAGCCAAAAATTGTTCAACATATTTAACAGATCAATTTATGAGTCAGTGTTTCTCAAGATTACTAGTCTCTTTGCATGTATCTAGCTTAACCTAACTTGCCCTGTGTAAAATGAGGATTAATTCAAGGCAAGCATTGCTTAAGTTCAGTTGGATGGCTGGACGTCGTGTTGTACCTAGAACAAGGTACTCGTTTGTTCTGAAAACGGTTTCCAAATAAATCAAGCTCTCCCAACAGGAAATAATGATGGGTTCTAGAATACTTCTAGCCCTTTCATTAACACAGTCAAATGTAGTACCGCTTTGACTTAATCGCGCTGTTGTTGATTGAACAGAAACAGTTATTCATGTCAAACAGCAGGTTTAAAAGAAAATGTTTTTTGTGGCTTAGAAGAAACCAAAACGTTTTTAGTGCAATTGACTAAATAAAGTCAACACCTCTGGCAATATTTTGCCAAAGAAACAAGTATTTTGTCCACCCAATCAAAGTGCAGCTCATTTGGGATTAGCTCCATTTACAAACAGCGATAAATTCAACTTTTGTTGTAGGGCTTAATTTATCGCATGTGATATCATTTAGCCGTTAATTTTTTTTATTATGTTCTAAAATTATGTGCCAATCGGTGCCTAAGGTGCAATAGTTTGATAGTAATTGTGACACTATATTTTTTATATGCATAAATTTGAAATCAATAAGGCGCAGAATTTGATTTTCGACCTTTGAACATCATTCATAGACAAACAAATGTTAGCAAATCAATCAGGAAGAAAACTTAAGTACATGTGGTTATTCTAGGTACATCAAATAAGTTTCCCGCATTCTGAACTCACAGAATACGAATTTGATTAAATTTTGACTTTTTCAGTGTGTGGCGACGGTTCGTGCGAGCCAAATCAAAACGAGACGTGCTTGAGTTGCCCCGAGGACTGCGGTGCCTGCAGTCTAGAGGCCCGGGTCGGCGGGGCCATCATCGCAGTGGTCTTTCTCGTCTTCATGGGGGCTGGCACCATTGGCTTGGTGAGCACACCTCACCGATTTATAGGCGAAAAAAGCAAATTACACTTTACTCAATTCCGTATTGTCGTCAAAATCTCCTCCTAAAGACAATTTAATTCTTCACTGTTGTGAAAATTTGTGCTTTAAATATGACGTTAGTTAGATGAATTTGCCTTCAGGAGCCTAAATTCCTTTTTAATGCGCCTAATGATAAATGACAACATCACTAGCTTTCAATCTTTTCGATTAATAGTTGTCATTTAAAGCTTCTGCTAAAACCTATCCAGAGCTTTTTAATGTCTCTTACCGCAAATAACTCCAAATTTCTCCCTTACTCTCAATAGAACGCACTCGTGATTAGATGAAAATTGCTCAAACGAATCGCGCAATCAGTCCTGTCCTAAACTCATGTGGTTTTATGATGGTGTCATTCATAGTGAATTATTTCGGGGTCAGACTAGGGAGCCAAATTGTAATCGGTTGTTGAGGGCTCGAAATGGCAAAACTAAGGGACCATTTGGTGAATCAGAGTATCTTAATTTTGATTAACACAAATCAAGGAATTATTATATGCTACAGTTGTCAGCAAAGCAGAAGGCTCATTTCGGTCTTTGTGTTACTTTCCCTTTCAGTTTTTCTTCCGTCGAAGTCGACTAGCACTTTGGGATAATTCGTGGATTGTTTTTCGTGATAAAGTCACCATAAGTAAGAGAAGGCTTACGTTATCCCTCATACCTGTGAATTGACTTTTTGCTTGTCTGGTGTGCTTGATCAGCGGTCTGCTGTAGCCCGCAAACATGAATTCACCCTTGGCTGTTGACGTTTAAGAGTTACTGGTGTGAAACAGTGAAATTTCGTTAAATAGAGCATAACTTCCGTCCAGCTTAAATGGAGAAATGCAATGTAGCTCACTAGCAGATGCACAAGCACACTTCCGTCAATTTGACCAAATATTTTCTTAGTTTTGATTCAGCAATTATTGCTGCAACTCCAAGCGCATCTCAAAATAGTCAAAAAATCAGAAAGTATCATTTGTAGAATAACACCGAAATTTAAGTGTAAGCAACCAAAGGGACTTTGTCAAGTGATATGTAACATTTAATTGTGATCATTTCTCTTGAAAAAAATAAAGTTGAACACGAAAGCCAAAAGGCCTCTCACACTATGATTGAGGAAAGTACGGAGGGCGCAGAGGGCGAGGCCGCATCGAAGCCATTTGTCTACGGAAAAATGTAAGTGATTTCATGTAACGTGCGCCAATTTTAATCACAGCACTAAAACGACACCTCCTAGCATGATCGTTTGGGCACGAGACCACTCCAGCATCCCTTTTGGTCTCAATCAAATCAATAAAACATTTTTGGATGCATGTTATCAAATTTTCACAATGAAATCATGATTTCCGTAATTAGATAGTGAAATATCGTTACGTTTGCCCGTAACAATAAAGAAGACCACTCAAATAGCGGTACCAGATCCCTCGCTGAAAGCTAGACTCGACCTTCCCAGGCTAATACAAGAACAAGACCAGGGCTCGAGTAGAGAGCTTTATTCACGTCAGCCACGTGCAGAGAAGAAGTGAAATCGAAACTAATTCAAGTCAAGGTAGACCTTGACTTGATAAAAGCGTGACAAAACAAATGTTAACAAATTACTGTAAATAGAATTAGAAACCAATCTTGGGGAATCGTGGATCCCCAACAAATATACCTGTTGGAATTTGATGAATGGCGATTATTTACTGAAAGATGTCCTACTCAAGTCAATGCTTACCAAACTAAAGCCATAATTGTTTCTGATCGTAATCATTCAACTACCAGAGTTACAAAAAAAGTGTTCACAAGGATAGCGTACAACGAGAATACCAAACGAATTAAAACTGACATCACGAAATATTGCATTTTGATGATAAATATTACTAGTCAAGGAAATACGCCACTTGCCTTATCATCAACTAAAGCACTCGTGGTGCAAGGGTGATGAACAAGCCCAAATCTCACCAAAGGCAAATTTGATTCGGAAGGGGTCTTGCTGCAAGTCTGGCTTGGTTATAAATTTGTTGTTTAAATTAAGCTGTTTCCTTGGAAACAAAATGTCAGTTAATCGGCTAACCGTCAACAACAAATGAATTTGCACTTCGATAAAACAAATTCAGACCAGGTTAAAAATACAGATATAATGAAATATCATTTTTTGTTGTTTTAAACATCAGTCTCGTTAATGAAAAATTACGCCATTTCTCCTGTCTTGCTGATTCTGTTCTGTTTATTCCGAACTTCACGAACATAATAATGTGCATCTGGGAAAGCAACAACCGGTTGAGAGAAAATAATTTACGGTTTTTTGAGGGTAAGACAAAGGGAAATTAACTCTAAGGGAATATTTGTTATTTAAAATCTTAGAAGGTATAAATTTTTTCAGCCCAAAATAAATTTACCGGTACAAGTTAACCGCCTGAAGCCAACTTGTACTTGGTTGGCTGCGGCGCTGGTTTAGTTGACATTTTAAAATCGAGTAACACTGTTACTTGTTGTTTAGATGTGCTAAAAGCAATTCGATAGAAATTATGATTCGTAGATTGAAGTACGTAAGTAGTAGGTAATCTTTCACCGAATTCAGCCAACTGATAAAATGTCTACATGCAGCAACCACTAAACAGCCCGGATGCCAATGTAGCTGAAAATATATTGAACCTTTAAGAAAATGGCGTTTTGTGAAAGCAAGATAAAATACTACCTATTGTGCCGCTTAGTGCAATTAAATGTCCAACGCAAACTTCCACATTTTCTTAGGCCGTCAAAAGACGCACTTTTCCCCATTTGGGAAAGACTACGGCAAGCAAAAGGCAGGAGTGGGGAAATGTGCAGGCATTATAATTCTTTAAATAACCAAATGTATTCCTTTTTTCTACCGCTTAACATTTTGTTATTCATGACTGGGGTTGTAATTGCTCTGGTTAGAAGGCTTATTTAACCAAACTATTGTTTTTAATTTTATTAATGAAGTTTGGACCACACCATCCAGTTATTTGCACCTCTCTGTTATCTGTAGAAAACTGTTCATGGCTATTCTATAATTACCAGTCCTAGAAATTTAAGATCCAAAATTCAAATATTCCGCGAATTTTTCAATTCATTTATGAGAACTAAGTCCAAAATTTGTGTAGCGAGAATGCATTTAACTAACTAACGTGATTTATTTAGTTTCAACCTTAAGTCAATGCATATTTCTTTTAAGTGGAGATACTTTGGTATCAATCAAAAGCGTCGAACGTGACCAAGTTCTCCTGACCAAAAAACTTCGCAAGGAGATAAAGACGATGAGGTAAGAAGGCTGTCCAATGTTTGTAGTTTTCCAAAATGACACCAAAATAATGACATTTCACGTTGTTTGCAATGCAGACAACTGAACCATCGCAATGTGTGTCAACTCGTGGGCATTTGCCTGGAACCGCCCGAAATAGTAATCTACATGGAATACTGCCCCAAGAGAAGCTTGCGAGACGTCTTGCGCAATGAGGTGATGCCAACGAGTTGGGCATTCAAGTAAGCTTCCCGACATTTCATTTTGTCGAAGTCAACAGCAACCTCTTCTCTTCTCACACAGACTTATTTGAAAAAAAATATTACTTTTCCTGTTAACCAAAATCCCACCCCTAGAAATCCATCATGCAAGCTTCATCATACTATTTTCAAAACAAAGACAAGACCTTATTGTGCGAAATTCTCACACGCATTTAAATGACATCGATAGTAGCTGTCAAAATACAGAAATTTGATGGATGAAGTAAGTACCGACCTCCTTTTTAGCAAAACATTATAGAATGCTGGCTACTTCACCATCAAGTTAACGGCAAATAGTTTTGGTAGAGTGGTATAACATTACCTGCCGCTAGACTGCAATACCTCATTCGCGACACACATATATTTATATGCACGTTTCGGTAATACTAACATTAATCTGAACCAGATTATGTCATCTAGCATTAACCTGAGTGGTAACGTATAGAAATTTTGGAATTAATAAATGAGCGGTTTCACAGCAATTGATTGAGTCATGTTTCATCCTTGGGTTCATTATTCTAATTCCAACCACTACCAAGGCTGAGTTAATCAGATGTCTTGCATGTTCTTTTATGATTTCAAGGTTAGCATTAATATTTTTAGGATTCAGTAAACCAACATTACAATCATGTTCTTACTATCCCATTTGTTTCATTGTAGGCTCTCGTTAATTCATGATATCGTATCTGGGGTCGAACACCTACACACACACGGCTTCATTCATGGCCGTCTCAACACACAAAATTGTGTTGTTGATGACCGTTTAACTTGCAAAATTACTGGTAAGTGTATTATGTAGTTAAAACGCACACAAAGGTAGAAAACAAAACTTTGTTTATGTGTATCGCATGCGTTTTTTTTGAATTCCATGCAGAGTTTGTTACCTGTTTTGTATTTATTAAAGGATACTTTTGTTGACAAGCCCTACCACTTGACAACAAGTGGAATTAGAAAGAGGTGATTAGAGCTAGCAGATGCAACTGTTTTTTTTTCAATTGTTAAGTTACTTTTGCATTGAAATTTTAGAGTAAAAAACTATAGCGTAATCCCTAATCAATGTATAAACAGACACGCCTGTTTTCATAGTGAAAAGGACAGTGGCGCGTCTTCTCGGTATTTCCCTGAGATACAACATTTCACAAATAGCAGATTATTTTGAACCACCGAAATCAATTTTGGCGATTATTTAATCAGTTAGAAAAGTTATCCATTGATATTAGCATCTCGGTCATGTTAAAACTACATATACCCTCAAATGACTTACTCACAGTGAAGATGTGTGGACAAGTCTCTATTTTTAAAGTGCTTTACGTAAGGAACTTGGCCCGACGTGGTTGACTAACATTTCTTCGCAATTTCAGACTTTGGACTGGAGTGTCTTCGCTACAATAAACCCGAAGACAAGTTGGAGACGTTTTTGGACGACCCACGAAACTGGGCATTTATTGCGCCGGAGTATCGCGGTAGGCCACGAATTAAGCACATCACAGAATTTTACGCATCTGCCGACCGTGATTGTTCTTCTATATTTAGGTGAAACCGTCACACCACCGCACATTCGGATGGATTCTTACAGTTATGGAACGATCATGTGCGAAGTCGCTCAACTTCGTGAAGTATGCCATAAATATCCACTATTTTGGCCGGATTTGGCATTTATGCTTTGTGCATTTAAAATGAGTTTATCACTGGAAACAAATGTAAACTTAGTGTTTAAACTCCACGTTAATGTCTTAAGGAAATTAAGCAGTGTTTTTACATCTCTGAGAATTATAAGGGAATGCATTGTTTCAGGGGATCCTGTCGATCAGACCACCATTCCAGCGTATTTAAGATCCATATTTGGAGTTAAGGATTTGCCAAAAGTTATATCCCAATTTTAGCATATTTATGCTCACCTGGTAGGGTGGATTTGCAGTTGTAAGGCGTTCTTGAGGGTTCTCTGTAAAATGAGGACTTTGTTTTATTTTTTGCCGCCAAATTGTTTCCAATAATTCAAAGCAAGCCTCGCTTTCAAAAGTGATGAAGGTCTGTGTAAAAAGAGCTAGTTTTTAATATTGCCATTTTTCTAATATCTGACAAAAAATCGAGTTGAAATTCAAATCTACCTCATTAATTAGGCAATTAAAATTAGTGTAACTAAAAATTACTTCAGTTAATTGGTTCGGTACAGAATCCTGTTAATTTTGCTGTCACCGTTCAATTTCAAATATATCCTAGTCATTCGCAGTAAATGTTAATCCCCGCATTTGCCAGTTAGGGCAGACTTAAATCTTGTTAAAAATTAAACAAACAATCCCACTTTATAGACTCAGGTACACACGTGAGTTCTGTGAACGGTAGCGGTTTCTGAATTGTTGGTTATGCACGCTGGGACGTTCAGTATTGAATTCGTTTTATCCGAAATAATAAATATTACGACAGTAAACATGGTGTAGAATAGGCTGCCATGCCGATATTGACCCATTCAAATAACCCCCCAACGGGACCAGTATAGTAAAACAAAGTTATTTAGAACTAACGTGACAAATATTGCAAGTATTTAAAGGTTTCCATGGATTTTTGTGTTGCGTTTAATCCGTGATCCTAGGAGCCGGATGACTTCAACGCGCCAGATTTGACTGAAAGTGAGAGACAGGAGTTGATGACACTGTGGTGGGACTACCCCCTGCCCACAATGGAGGCCTTCGAGGCAGGCGGCGACGACAGTACTCCAAGCATGGCGGAATATATCAATGTGAGCCCGTCCAGTTTAATGTATCACTGTTACGTTTGCCCGTAACAATAGAGAATACCACTCAAATAACGGTGCCAGATCCCTCGCTGAAGCTAGAACCGACCTTCCCAGGCTAATACAAGAACAAGACCAGGGCTCGAGTAGAGAGCTTTATTCACGCCAGCCACGTGCAGAGAAGAAGTGAAATCGAAAGTGATTCAAGTCAAGGTCAACCTTGACTTGATAAAAGCGTAACAAAACAAATGCTTAGAAACCAATCTTGGGGAATCGTGGATCCCCAACAATCATCAAATTATGCACACATTTGTGTCGTCAGGTAACAATACATTAATGTGTATTGTCACAGTTCTGCTTTGATATCTGCAAAAAAACTTGTAAAAAAACGAATCCCTGTGCGGTTATAAAAATGCTTGCAGGAGAGGCGTGATCCACAGTTATTTTCACATTAACTTCACTGAGTCAGTTTCTTGGTGGTGTGCTCAAAAAAAGCGTAATTTCACGATCCCAAAGGGGTTAAATATGACAAAAGAAGTTCCAAGTTCACACTTTGTTCTTAACTGACAAGCATGCAATTCTGTCCAGCTTACAGGTTATCTGCCTTGTGATCTCATGTGTCAATTTTCACGTTTGATCGTATTGGCGCTTTACTTAGCCATGGAGAAGCCTTCCAGCTAAAAATAACAGAAATTCAGGATACTCAGATCAAGTATTCAGGCAATTTAAGCACTTTAAAAATGCGGTTTTAAATTGAGTTAGTGTTATTTCAAATAAAAATAGCAAAATGACTGTATGTGGACTACATTGTGATGTTTTGAATGAGACCAATAAGATGTCATGACAAGGAGAAGGCCTCTGAGATTTCATCTTAATTTTTCTACAACCAATTTGCATTTTAGCTTATAAAGTTCTGCTGGAGCCCGCCGGAGACACGGCCTTCATTTGATGTGATTCGAATGAAAATGGAACTCATCAATCCCAGGCGAAAAAATCCAATTGACATCATACTCAGCCTTGTAAGTCTATCACCACGCTTTAACTGTTTCCGACTGCAATTTGGATCGGCGGCTGATTTTAAAACTCATTAAATAGTGAAATCTAGTCAATTTCTTAAAAGTGAGAAGAATATGTACTGTTAATATTTTCAGTTGACTAAACTTTCAAATTATGCATTCTATTTAACATCAATTTCCTGTAAATTTGGTACCAAACACACGATTTTGGACTTCGGACTGTTTCATTATTGTTGTTCCTCTTGCAACGTAAAAAATATCACTACCGCACTCGCATGAAGCAGTCATTTCGCCTTTGATGATATTTTCGCTCGGTGCGTTCAAAAACTGGGTCTTAAAATCAGCGAAGTAGTTTCTTCTAAATTTTTGCAGGCAGGAATTTATGCCTATTCAGGAAATGCAATATATTTCATGGACTCTAACCAACAATTGAACCAAACAAATCATATTTCGAGAGAAAACCTGAGGAAAATGCGAAAAAATATAGTAACTGATGAGCAAATACAAATAGCAGACAAAAATATGGACCAAATGGCAAAATTTGTGAGTTTCGCAGGTTGCGAAACTTGTTTTTTTGTATGGGATTTAAATTACCACAAAAATGGAAGAATTTGGGAAACCGAGTGCAAATCGTTGCTGCAGATGATTCAACAGAAACTGTGGTTTGACAAGACAACATACCATGTCAAAATTACAGTCAGTGCTCCAAAACCATTCAGCTTTCCGGTAAAGAAAGACACTAATGCAATCATTGGCCTGTTTCTTTGTAGAAAGACCTAACCGACTAACATTAGCGTCATTGTAGATCTGGGATTGGTAAATAATTGTGACAATTGTCGCAAATATTGCCACAACAATTGCCACACGGAGATGACATAGGACATTTCAAGGCACGTATTGCCACATCCTATCCTTTATTTTGACTCGGAAAAAAGGTGCTCAACTAAGTAGACAATTGGTTTTACAGTTTTCCAAAGTTGGTCTGGCGTAGTCATCGAAACAGGTTGAAGTGAACCTGAAACGTAAGACTGGTAATAATAAATTGGATTAAACCACCAACACACATGCACAAAAATGATTTTAGGGCATTAAAAGGTAAATATTGATAGGTTGTAAGCCGAGTAAATTGCGCTGTTGGGATTAAATGTATTTTCCTTGGTCAGAAGTTTGGAATTTTGAAAATATTGTTCATTCAGTACCTCAAAATTTTCCTAGCGCCTTGGGACAGCTGAAAAGATGATGACTGGGAGTTTGGCGGATAACCTGATTTTGAATTGTGCGATTAAAATAAAGCCTGACTGCTCTCCGCACCTACGCCTTGACAGACGGCGGGGTTGCTTCAGATACACCTGGAACTTACGTGGTTTTCTCTAAACAGATTAAACTTTGGTAGTTTAGACTGGTAACTCGACTTTTACATTCACCGTAACTGAGATTTGGCACTGATTTTAAAATGAGGACGTGTTTCTTTTGAAACGTAAATATGATTGAATGATGCCTCAGTAGGCGAGGTTTTGAACCTTGCCTCTAATATCTACTAGTTTTGATATAAATTTTCGTATGAAGCCATACTTGTATCGGTCAAATGCGCCTGACTTTGTCAAACTATTTTGATTAAAAATAGAATGTTTCCTGTGTTAGATGGAGAAGTACTCGGCCCACCTCGAAAGTATAGTTAGTGAGAGGACTCAGGACTTGATTGCGGAAAAACAGAGGACTGATGAATTGCTTCACAGTAAGTTGACGTTCGTAAGTTACCATGTGCCCAAATTTAGCTTTACGCTTTAACGCAGCACCGTGCTTCATAATTTTAAACACGATTTATTTTTAAAATTCCATGTACACAGCTGGAGTAGGCGATGTTCATTGTTATTAGGCACTGCCAAGTTTCCGAGTACCTGAACAAAAGCCTGCATAAAAATGAGCCATAGTAAGTAATTTCATCACCCTATTTGTGGTGGTGGTGGTGGTGGTGGTGGTGGTGGTGGTGGTGGTGGTGGTG